GTTATATCTTCATGTTCAATTGATCCTTTAATCATTATATAATGTCCTTCCTTGTCTCGTGTGGTGGTTTTTGTCTTAAAGTCAATTTGATCAGAAATTAATACTGCCACTCCTGCTCTCTTACAGTTGCCATTTGCTTGGTATATCTTTTTCTAACCTTTTATTTTTTAGTTTATTTTTTGTCTTTATTGCTAAGGTGTGTCTCTTGAAGGCAACATATTGATGGGTTTTGTTTTCTTATCTAGTCTGCAACTCTCCCTCTCTTGAATGGTTCATTTAATCCGTTAACATTCAGTGTAATTATTGACAAATACGAATTTTTTTCTGTCATTTTGGTATGTGTTTTTTCATGGTGTCCCTGGTTTCTTTGTTCCATGTTATTTTCTGTGCTGAGTTCATTTTGTTTATGAATTGTGTTATCATTTCCTTTGTTGCTGTTGTTGTAGTATATGCTGAATATTTGTGCTTGTCCTCTTTTTTATCGTGAAGTGAAGGTTTACCATTTTTCCTTGAGGTTACCCTATGCTTTGTAATTTTCTCCCCAAGTTTAGAACAGTCCATTCTATCTTGCAACTCTCTTACTTCCTCACCATTTAGAAGTTCTGTAACTACACAGTATTTTCCCTCTTTTTGTTTGTAGTTGTCCTCACTTGCCAATTGATGTCTTGGTTCCCTGTTTACAATCTTATAAGCTCATTTTACTATGAATATGTCCATAGCTGTGGTTTCTGGGTTATGTCTTCTTGTGTATTAATGGTTAGTTGTTATTTGTTATTTTTGGTGCTCTGTTCTAAGGACTCCCTTTAGCATCTCTTGTAAGGTTGGTCTGGTTTTAACAAATTCCCTTAGTTTCTGCCTGTCTGGGAATCTCCTAATTTTACCATCATATTTGAGGGACATTTTTGCCGGGCATATAATTCTTGGTTGAAAATTTTTCTTTTGTATGGTTTCTGCTGAGAAATCAGAGCTTATTCTTACTGGCTGTCCTTTTTAAGTAACTTTGTGTTTTTCCCATGCTGCTTTCAAGATTCTGTCTTTGTCTTTGGTTTTGATGAGTTTAATGATGATATGTCTTTGTGATTTTCCTTTGAGGTCTGTCCTGTTTGGGGTTCTTTGGAATTCCTGAATGGATATATTCTTATCTTTCATCCTATCAGGGAAGTTCTCCTCCAACAAATCTTGGACAATTTTCTCAGTGGTTTTATTTTTCTCTTCTTATTTTGAAATTTCAATGACATGTAGGTTATTCCTTTTGATGGTATCCCACATGAACCTTAGGCTTTCTTCATTTTGTTTTGATCTTTTTTTCTGCTTCATCCCCTTCCAAAGAAGTATACACGTATTTGTCTTAAATCGCATTAATTCTGTCTTCCATTGCATCAGTTCTCCTCCTTTGCCCTTTCGATGTGTTATCTATTTCTGACAATTTAGTATTAATCTTCTGGAGTTCTATCTGTAGATTCAGAGTAATTTCTAATTTTTCATTTATTTTGTCATTTTGTTCTTGTATTTTCTTCCAAAAATTTTCTAGGGTTTTCTCTGTGTTTTCTTTGGTCTGTCTCTCAATCCTTTGAAGATGCCTAAATATACTTCTTTTGAGTTTCTTATCAAAGAATTCCAATGCTGTTTCTTCCTCAGGCATGTGTTCTGGGTCTGTATCCTGCTCCTTTGTTTTACCATTTTATCTTGCTTCTCTGTGTGGACTGTCATGGTCTGTTTTCTCCAGGACATCATGGCGTTGTTGTATTTAGATCTCTGTTAACTCTTTGTGATTGTATTTAGATCTCTGTTAACTGTGAAGAGCAGCCAAGGGTGATTCAGGCTCTTCTTGGTGGTTTTTTATCGTTGGCCCATTGGTGGAGAAGGAGGTAGTGGCTCTCACTCAGTAAGTGAAGTTGCAGGAGGTGTGGTTGTAGTTGTGTCTTATGGGGACTGTTGCTGTCTCCCACTCAGTTAGACAAAAATTACAAGTGAATAACCATCAAAAATAAAGCACATGGACAAAAAATACACCATGTAATCATACTGGAACAGTAACAAAAAAAAAAAAAAGAAGAAGAAGAAAGAAAGAAGAAAACCTGCAATATCTGGGGACAGGGCACTAAGAGAAAAAATGTAGAGAAGGAGAATATTGAAGAAAAAAATGGGAAAAATGCAGAAAGAAAAACAAGGAGCGGTGTTAACCACAAGAAAAAGGGAAAAAAAATTTTGCAACCAGGCACAGGGAAAAGAAAAAAAGCTGAAAACTAGGACCTGAGAGGGAAAGAATAAGGAATAATAGTAAAAAGCACAAAAGTATTAGTAATAATAGTAGTTTTCAAACAGACAAATACAAGCAAACTAAAATCCAGACAAAAGAAAGAGAAAAAGGAAAAAAACAAAAAAATCAGGGGAGGACAGGGTAGGGCACCTAGGCTCCCTCTGAGCATACAGACTGGGATGGAATTACTGCGGGCCCAGACAGTGGATGGGAGTGGGGGATGGCTGTACCTCTGTTCACCAAGCGGGTGTGGGATATAAGAGTAACATGGAGAATGTTGTACTTTTTCAATCGTCCAGCTCTGGAGTGTCCTTTGGGTTATGGCAAATGGAACCTGTTCTTAAGCCCCTGGAATATGTGAGCGTGCTGTATCTTTAAATATCTGAAATGGTCAACCCGCTTGTAAACATTCAAAAGGGCTACACCCTCCAGACAGGCAAAAGTCCACAGCTCAGCCCACCTTCCTCTTTGGTGCTGCTTCGCCTTTTATTCTCCAGCCACCAGAGCAGTTCTCTGTGCAATCCCTGGCTAGCACGGTTGATTTTTAGGTTAATTCTTAGGTCCTACCAGACTCGGCAATCTCCAAGTTGTCTGTGCCATCAGAATCAGTCAGGATCGCTGTCACACCGCAGCTCCGTATGTCTCCTTTTTTGGTATTTTCATGCAAATTCTTGGGCTGGTTGGGGTTTAGTCCACTTCTATATCCTTCCTTTCAAGGCTCAGGCGTCCAGGATTATCTTCTGTGTCTGTGTTAATTGGTTCCCCTTTTCTTTGTTGAAGAGGGTCTGTGCAGTCTTTCTGCCTATTCCGCCATCTTAATGGAACTCTCTGCTTAGATGAGTTTTAAAGGATATGTAAATGTTAGCCAGATGGAAAAGGAAAGGTAAGGGCATTCCTGGCAGAGGGATTAATGCAAAGACCTGAGACAATATGGCATGTTTTGGGAATGACAGTCAGTTCCATGAGAATGGAATACAGAGTTTGTCTGGGGACTTGGTGACTGATTGCATGTGGAAGATGATGCTAGCAGAAAGAAAAGAAGGAAGAATCAGAAGAGGAGAGATTACTAAGGGAACTCATTGCTGAGGGAGCAAAATGATGATTCTTCTTGGATAGAAGAACTCATGGATCATTCCTGTACTGGGAAAAGAGAAGAAGATCTAGAGATGATGGACGATGGAGAACTTTGTACATAGCAGGTTGGTGGGGAAGAGGAGCAGGAAGTTACTCTTTCACTCATTGAACAAATATTTATTGAGCCCCTATATGTTCCACACACTGTTCTAGATGCTTGGCATATCACAGTTTACAAAATTAAGGTCTCTGCCCTCATGGAGCTTACATTCTACTTTGTGGTATCAGCTAATGAACAATAAATATAAGGAAATAACTTACATAGGATGTTAGCAGGCAATAAGTGCTGTGGGAATAAAAGAAAAAGCTGAGCAAGATAAAGGGATCCGTAGGATAGGCTTCATTAAGAAGTGGATGTTTGAGGAAAGACTTGAAGGAGGTGAGAAAGTGAGCCATGCAGGTAACGGGGAGTGGAGTTTTTCAGGCAGAGGGAACTGCCAGTGAAGATACCTTTTCATGGCAGCGTGCCTAGTGTGTTCAAGAGAGGGTAAGGACACAATGCAGCTAGAGAGGAATGAATGAGGAGGAGGGAGTGGTGGGCAGTGAGGTCATGGGGTAACAGGAGCCAGATGGTGGGCCATGGTGACTTTGGCTTTTATTTTCAATAAATGAGGAGTCATTTTGGGTTCTGAGGAGAGATGTGACATGATCTGACTTAATGTTTTAATATGGTCACTCTTGCTGTATGTTGGGAATAGACTGAGAGGAATAATGATAAAAGCTTAGAGACTAGTCAGAAGGCTATTGCAGTAATCCAAGGAGAGATCAAATGGCTCAGCCAGATGCCAGCAGTGGAGGTGGTCAGATTCTGGATATATTTTAAAGGTAGAACCTACAAGATTTCTTTATAGATGAGATATGACATATGAAAGAAATAGAGAAATGAACAATGATTACACAATTTTTGTAGTCTAGACATCCCAGCAGGTGGAGCAGGTTTGAAGTTGAAGATAAATTCATGTATTTTGAGATGTCTTTGGGACATCCAAGTGAAGATACTGAGTAAGTAGTTAGATATATGAGTTTGGAATTAGATAAAAGTTTGGGCTGAAGATAGAAGTTTGGGAATTGTCAGCATATAGATCATAATTTACAGTTTATAAACTAGATGTGGACAGCATCAAGGGAGTGATAAAAGAGAAGACATGGTGGAGAAATGAAGAGGGCCAAGCACTTGGGGAGCGCTAACATTCAGAGACCAGTGAGAGGAAGAAGACCTAACCAAGTTGTCTGAGAAGGTGTGGCAGAAGAAAATCTAGGAGAATCTGGCATCTTGGAAGCTAGGTGAAGAAAACATATCAAGATGGAAGAAGTGATCAACTTTGTAAACTGTGTCATTCTTTGATTTCTTATCTTTACTCTGTAAAGTAGAAATAAGATTAGTCATTGGCTGAGAAAGAGGAGAATGTTGAGATAAGTTCAGAATGTTGAAAGTTTGCAATAACTCTCAGCTTACTGGAATGTTATGGGAATGGAAGAATGTCTGCTATAATCTAAAATTGATTTTGATACTTTGAGGAATGTGCTTATTTTGGGGAGGGGTGGAAATGGTGACACTTCTATTTGAATTTCCTTTTGTAATATTGCCTTTTCTTCTTTGTAGAAAATGTACTGGAAATCATATTGTTCAAACACAATTGATGAATGACTTGTTGGTAGGCATTAGAGTTTCAGTGATGTTAGTACAGAAAGTACAAGGTTTCCAGGGAAATCTTTGGAAGGCTTCCAGTTCTCCGATATGGCAAAGTATGTGTGGCTTACTGAGTATTTTCACCAAGTTTCTAAGCAATGGTAAGTGTAACAATGGACAGATGATGATTATAATGTGTTTCAGGCAGCTTTTCTTGATGATTATATGAAATAGATGCGTTAACTGAGATATGGAACTTCTCTCTTCTTTCCACCCCCAAAGAAGGGAAAGGTTCTATATTACATGGTTTTAGTGGGTTTTTTTTTCTTTGAACTGTACTGTTTCAGCAAGGGATAATGTTAAATTTATATATTTCTAAATATATATAGTATGCAAAGTGTGTATATATATATGCAAATTCTATATGTATAATATGAAAAGGATAAAACCTAACAATCTTCATATTCAAAAGCAGCAAACTTTCAATAGCAAAAGGAATGCTTTTAAAGGAAATTTTCATATCTTGTGGGAAGAGCTAGAAAGATTAGTGTAACCCATACATTTCTCTTTAGCAGGAAGTATTATTTTCAGGTAACTACAGTAGTTTCTGATTGTAGGGCTGGTTAGCATTCTTTTTATAGAGGTCTATGTACCACTGGGCACCCAGATAGTGGTGAGGGGAAGTGTCTCTTTTAAAAGTATTCCACCTAGTTACTGAAAAAGAAATGATAGAATATTGTCATTTTATAACTCCTAATGAATGAATAAAAAAACCAAACTCACTGCTGTCAAGTTGGATCTGACTCATAGCCCCTCCTTGGGTTTCCAAGGTGGTATCACTACAGAAGTATGTTGCCCAATCTTCCTTCCGAGGAGTGGCTGGTGGGTTTGAACCACCAGCCTTCTGGTTAGCAGTCATATGCTTTAGGCACTACTGAATAGATATAGACATCCACCATTAATAGCTGCTAATGTTACAGAGAGACAAGCAGACCACATGTGTTCATAGAATCTTGCCATCACGAAAGGGATGGAACTTGACACTAATGCACTCTCTAGGTCCAATTGCCAGTTTGCAGGAACTACAGTTCTGGTAGCATAGTGCCTAAGGCACTTGACTGCTAACCAGAAGGCTGGCGGTTCAAACCCACTACCACTCCTCGGAAGGAAGGTTGGGCAATCTATTTCCGTAGCGATACCGCCTCGGAAGCCCAAGGAGGAGTTGCTATGAGTTGGGACCGACTCGATGGCAAAATAACAACAACAGCAACACAGAGGACAGAATAATGTGTTCAGTTGCACCAGGAGTAAGCAAACAGCAACATCCAGATGGTAGGAAACTGTAGATCAAATGGCCAACGTTCTTCAGCAGAGAAATTGTAATAAAAAAAAGGGAAAGAGAGGGTACCTATAGATTAAAAGAGACTTAAAAGACGTGAATTTTTTTTTTAAATGGGCAATGCCGACTAAACTGTGATACGTAGGTACATGTATTTGATTGATAAATCTGTATAAAAATATAAGGAAGTGATTATTATTAAAGCAGGGTGAGAGGGAGAGGGTTGTGAGTGGGTTGGTACATGGATGAGTTCCCAGGGCTGGGTGGCCGAGTTCTATTTTTTTGTCCTGGGTTGTTGTTGTTGTTATGTGCTGTTGAGTCGGTCCCAACTCATAGCGACCCCTCCTTGGGTTTCTGAGACGGTATCACTACGGAAGTAGATTGCCCAACCTTCCTTCTGAGGAGTGGCTGGGTGGTGGGTTTGAACTGCCAGCCTTTTGGTTAGCAGTCAAGTGCCTTAGGCACTGTGCTACCAGAGCTCCTTGGTAGTGGGCACAAAAGTACCTTCTAATCATTTGTTAAGCTCGGTAGTGGTTTTGGGTGATTTTCTATATCTGTGTTTTATATTACTAAGAAGAGTAACAAAGAAAGTGATCCCTGTCGCACGTATAGATACATAAGTGTTTACGTAAAAGGTTAAATTACTCTTTTTTTCCTTTCTTACCCTTTGGCTGCCCCAATCAGGGTCATAGTTCTGTGACCAAGGATCAAGGCAGAATAGACATTTAGTAGGTAATTTACAGTGTCGTTCTTAGCCCAGGTTGAACAGTGCTATTATGTATAATTTTCTCAAAGCTAGGGGCTGATACAGATAAAACCAGAAGATAATCAAATCAAGACTGGTTGCGTTGGGTAGAGTGCCAATGATGGCATAGTTTGTAATTAGCACTGATGTAGGCTCTTAACACAAGCCCTGAAAACTCTTTAAGAAAAAGTGTATATATGTGGGAGCTAGGGACGGCACATAACATCAACAACAACAACAACAACAACAACAGGGTATGGTGGAATTGGTGGAGGGGTTGAGACCGGTGGTGGTGGTATTGTTGCTAGGTGTGTTGAGAGGCAGTAAATGGACAGAAAGAGGGCGTGGACGTTAGAGGAGAGAGGAAGGAATCAGCATTTATTGAGTGTCTGTGTACTAGGCATAAAAACCTTTATGCTTATTATATGTATAAACTTTATAATAACTGTGTTTGACAGGAGGTTTTTTGGCTTCCTTTTTCGTAAAAGGTGGTGAAGTGGTTGAGTGGTTGGCTGTTGAACAAAAGGTCTGCAGATTGAACACACCAGCTAGTCTGTAGGAAAAAGATACGGCAGTCTGCTTCCATAAAGATTACAGCCTTAGAAATCCTATGGGGCAGTTCTAGTCTGTCCTGTAGGTTATCTGTGAGTTGGAATTGACTTGATGGCAATGACTTTTGGGTTTTTTATAAAAAAAATTCACTGCTGTCGAGTTGGATCCGACTCATAACCAGCCTTTCAATCAGAAACTACTGTAGTTATCTGAAAATAATACTTCCTGTTAAAGAGAAATGCTAAAGAACCTTGCTTGGGTTTCCGAGGTGGTATCACTATGGAAGTAGATTGTCCAACCTTCCTTCCGAGGAGTGGCTGGTTGGTTTGAACCACCAGCCTTCTGGTTAGCAGTCAGATGTCTTAGGCACTATGCTACCAGAGCTCTAAAACCAAACTCACTGCTGTGGAGTCGGACCTGACTCATAGTGACCCATCCTTGGGTTTCCGAGGTGGTATCACTACAGAAGTAAATTGCCCAACCTTCCTTCTGAGGAGTGGCTGGTGGGTTTGAACCATCAGCCTTCTGGTTAGCAGTCAAATGCCTTAGGCACTATGCCACCAGAGCTCTCTTTTTATAAAAGGAAAAGCTACATCCCAGGGATGTTAACTAACTTGTCCAAGGCCTGCTCACCTAGGAAGTAACGAAGCTAGAAATTGCTCCCAGGACTGTCTGACCCTAAAGCAGACACTCATCACTGTACCAGCACATCCATTGTCATTTGATACATGCTTTCTGCTTTTGCCAAATAGATGACCTCTTACAGACAATTCAGAGCACATCTGGATTAGCTGTTATTCTCTTTATTAAGACTATGTTTGATCCACCTGAAGAGATCCCTGGTTTGGTAAGTGCATCTCCGTTTTAGAAATATATGCTAGTGATTTAAACATATGTTTTAAAATAATATGAATAAAAGTAAAATTTGTTTGTTTTTTACATAGTCTGAGTTTTTCTAATGACCTTTTTATCTTGTAATCACAATATATTTATCATTGACAATTCTAAAATTTCAGATAAAGAAAAAGAAGACAGTAACAGTCACCTGTAAATCCATCTCACAAAGATAATCACAGTTAACATTTTTGCTGTGTATCTTTCCAGTTTTTTCTAATGATTTTGTTCAGTCCAGGTTCTTCATCAGTATTGTGTGACATATTTGTAATATTAAAAGTATACAGAGATTAATATATAGACATTTATGCAATAATAACTTCTTGATAAATATGTTCTTTGTATTAAAAATTTTAGATTGTTGTTGTTGTGTGCCCTTTAGTTGGACCCGACCCACAGCGACCCCTCCTTGGGTTTCCGAAGCAGTATCACTGCGGAAGTGGATTGCCCCATCTTCCTTCCGAGGCGTGGTTGGTGGGTTTGAACCACCAGCCTTCTGGTTAGCAGTCAAGTGCTGTAGGCACTACACTACCAGTATATTGGAGTCAGTTGTTCACTGAATTGATCCATATGGAAACTAAAATTTGGAATTTAGACCACAATCCTATATTTAGTACTAAACAAACAAACAAAAAAACCAAACTCACTGCTGTCGAGTCAGATCCGACTCATAGCGACCCCTCCTTGGGTTTCCGAGGCAGTATCACTACGGAAGTAGATTGCCCGATTTTCCTTCCAAGGAGTGGCTGGTGGGTTTGAACCGCTAGCTTTCTGGTTAGCAATCAGATGCCTTAGGCACTACATCATGAGAACTCCCGTATTTAGTACTAGCAGATTTTTTTTCCCTTACTGTATTATCTAGAAAATTATTTTAGCCTTCTGCCTGAATTTATGCAAAATGTAAATGCATTGTTCTATGAGATCACAAGAAGTAATTATCATTGGATAAAGTATAAATTTTCATTTCTCAAATCACCTTTAAAAAGCCTTAGTTAAGCTCATCCACCTGCAGGTGGCACTGTGATCTGCTCTGTCAGTACATTCATATCCACAAAATAGTTCATGTTCGTGGATTTTTCTTTTTTTAATTTTAAGATATTTTTAATGCTTGTGGCTTCTTTTCTGTTTTTTTTTCTCCCCCCCCCCCCCCCCAACCTTTAGGTTCAGTTATTTTTCATGGGATATTTTACGGAAAAGAGATTTTGGATTTATATTTTGAAATATCTCTAAAAAATTTGAGAGACTTATATTTATAATCTGTTGTATTTCCAGATTAGTAGTTTGCTTCTTCGTTCAGTGGACTGTGCCAGCATCCCAGAGTGGTTTATGAGCAGCTGCAGGAGCCTGTGTTGCACTGAGGTCTCTGGGTCAGCTCTCTTATTCCTGTGTCAGGGGACACTTGCCATGTTGGACTGGCAGAATGGGAGCATGGGCCCATGTGGGGAAGCGCTGCTCTTGAATACTGCACACGTTTTGTTTACCTTGAGCTCACGGTGAGTTTTGATGCTGTTATCTCACATTTTTAGTTTTGTTGCTTGTAAGGCATAATTGGAAGCATTTGATGGATGGCAACTGAGCTAGCATACTTAGTAATTTTATGGAAAATGGTAAGGATAAATCCTAAATTAAAAATGGTGTACGTGTAGGGAGTGAAATAGGTGAAAGCAGAACAAAAGAAGATGGGATGATGATGAAAGAGAGAGCTAGAGGAATTACTGGTGTAGATTAACTTATATGAACATTTGTAAAGTTAATTTTAACATTCAGTCGCTCTGCTGGCATTTTTAAAAACTATAAATATTTCATTATGTAGAATGCTTTAGAGCTTATGAAGAACTTCAACATAGGTGATCTAGTTTGATCTTCAGGTCTGACAGGCACAATGGGAAAACTTATTTTGCTGAATGAATAAACTTAGGCTGAGAAAACTAAATGCTTACCTAAGAGCCTATTGCTAATAAGAACCAAAGCCAGAACTGTAACCAGGTTGTCTGACTTCACTTGGCTGTATTTTCTGTATTTTTGGTGTTTTTGCCATACTGGCTAAAAGTGATCATGTGCTTAAAATGTCAAACCATAGATGTAGTTTGTTAGTGATGAGCGGGTAGATGAAGAAGGAAGACTACAGTGTTCTAAAATAAGTGCTTTACATGTTGTATAGTTATGTATGTTTTAAAATTATGCATATATTAAATGAATTTTATAATTATTCTTTGCTTTTATAACAGTTTTATTGAGATATAATTCACATACTATACAATTCACCTATTTAAAGTGTGCAATTCAGAAGTTTTTAATATATTCACAGAGTTCTAGAACCATCACCACATTTTAGAACATTTTTTTTCACCCTGAAAAGAAACCTCGTACCCATTAGCAGTCTCACTCTCCATTTCTCCTAATACCCCCAATCTGGGGCCCTCATCATGATTGTATTTTTTTTTGAAAAATTTTGATTGTGTAAATGAATTGGTAGCAAGACATTATCCATTTCGACAGTCTTCACACGTACAGTTCAGTGACATTAAATATGTTCATCATGTTTTCAACCACCACTATTCTCAATTTTTTCCATCACCCATAACAGAAGCTCAGTGTCCCCTAAGTTGTGTCTTCCTTTCCCTCTCATTCCTGCCCATCCCTGGTAACCACTAACAAACTTTAATCAGTATACACTTACCTTTTCTAGAAATTTCATATAAGTGGAATCGTAGAGTATTTGTTCCTGTGTGATTGATTTCACTCAGCATAATGTTCACGAGGTTCAGGCTTAAGTGCATGATGTTGTAACATGTATGAGGCCTTCATTTCTCTTTATGGCTGACTAATAATAGTTAATTGTCAAAGAATATTGAATACACCATGTACTACAGAAGAATGAATAAATCTGGGAAGAAGTACACCCAGAATGCTGCTTAGAAGGGAGGATGGTGAGACTTAGTCTCATGCACTTTGGGCATGCTACCAGGAGGGACCAGTCCCTGGAGAAGGACATCTTACTTGGTAAAGTAGAGGGTCAGTGAAAAAGAGGACCATGCTTAATGAGGTGGATTGACACAGTGGCTGCAACAATGGCCTGAAGCATAGCAACAGTTGTGAGGATGGCACAGGATTGGGCAGTGTTTCCTTCTGTTGTATATAAGGGTCACTGTGAATTGGAACCGACTCATTGGCACCTGATAAGAGCAGTAAATGTATATGCCACATTTTGTTTAGCTGTTCATCTCTTGATGGACATTTAGTCTGTTTCCTCATTTTGGTTATTGTGAATAGTGCTGCATTGTATATAGGTGTACAAGAATCTGTTTATATTCCTGCCGTGTTATGTTGATTTTTTTTCTTGTGATTTGGTACAAATTTATAAAGCAGATTCATTTTACATTCAGTAGTTTATACATCTTTTGTTTCACGGCGCTAATTACAGTCTTCACAATGGAAAAGTTCTCCTTACACCTACTCCCTGTAATTACCCCTTCCTTGTGTCTTCTTACCTATGCATTCCTATTTGTCTAGCTTTCCCCAATGCAAATGCTGGTCTTCTGATCTCTCACAATTGACTGTTCTAAAGGTTGCATCTCCCTGTGATAGGTGTTCAGTTCATAGTCCTTTCTGTTATTGGCTGAGAGCTAATCCACAGGAGTGTGTTCAATTCTAGGCCCAAAGGGTAACTTGGGGCCATAGTCTCAGGGGTTTACTGTTCTGTGTGACCAGTAATTTTGATCATTTTTTATGTTTTGAAATTTGTTCCACATTTTCCATCCCACTCTGTCCTAAATCTCTAATTTTCATCCCTTTCTATGTGGTTGGTATAGGTAGCCAGGCACCATCTAGTTCTTCTGATCTCAAGGTCATGTAGGCTGAGGTTCCATGGTCCATTAGTCCCTTGAACTAATTGTTTCTATATGTCTTTGAATTTTTTCACTCTTCTTTGCTCTGTACAAGGAGAAACCAATAGTTTATCTTACACCCCAGTCTCTAATCCACACAGTAGGATGTAGAACAGTATTTTTATGTAATATGTTGTGCCAGTTAAGCTTGATGTCCTCCAAGACCATGGTCCCAAGCCTCCAGGCTCGGTTACTCATTTCCTCAAGCTTCTTGGTTTTGCCCAAGAAGCTACCCCCAACCTTGTTCCCTGTTAGTTCTATAATGTATAGATACAGTGCCCAAGGCACTTGACTGCTAACCAGAAGGCTGGTGGTTCCAACCCACCAGCCACTCCTTGGAAGGAAGGTTGGGCAATCTACTTCTGTAGTGATACTGCCTTGAAAACTCAGGGAGGGGTTGCTGTGGGTTGGATCCAGCTTGATGGCAGCGAGTTTGGTTTTTTGGTTTACGAATATGCAAGTAGGACTATCATCAGCCAGACTTAACTAAAGGTCATGAGTATATTCCCATTCGTCTATCCACACCTGATCTTCTCACCTGTCTGCCTATGTATCCACGCATAGACTAGGGTTAGTTATTAACTGTAATGCAGTATTGTGTATGTGAAATTATTTGCCTCTGTTATCTATACCTTTTGTCCACCTCTGTGTCCTCCTTTTCCCTGTTGTTATTGTACTGGCCACACACTTTTGTTATATTGCCCTTCTCTTCATCCAAATCAACACATGTCTCTTAACTAGTCAGCACTTTTCCTCCCCTCCCCTCCCATTCCTGGTAACCAACAAAGTAAATTTCCTTCCCTGTTAAACCTTTCCTTGACTTTTTATAATAAAAGACTCACACAATATTTGTTCTTCTCTAATTGACTTATTTCACTCAAAGTAATGTTCTTCAAGCTCATCCACATTATGAGGTGATTCATGGATTCTTCATTATTCTTTAGTCTTACATAGTACTGTGTTGTGTGTCTGTCCCATAGTTTGGTTATGCATTCATCTGTTGATGGGTATTTATGTTGTTTCCATCTCTTTGTTGTTGTGAATAGTGCTGCAGTGAACATGAGTGTGCATATATCTATTTGTGTCCCAAATACTGTTTTATTCCTAGTAATGGGATTGCTGGATCAAATAGTATTTCTATTTCCAACTTTTAAAGTAAGCATAATACTGCTTTCCATAGTGGTTGTATCATTTTACAGTCCCCAGAAGTATATGAGAGTTCCAACCTCTCCACATCCTTACCAGCATTTGTAGTTTCCTGTCTTTGCTGATATTTGTTATTATTGCTGGGGTGGAATGATATCTCATTGTTGTTTTGATTTGCATCTCTCTAATGGCTAATGACTGAGCATTTCTTCATGTGTTTGTTGGCTGCCATATCTTCTTTGGTGAAGTGTCGGTTCATGTCCTTTGCCTATTTTTGAATTGGATTTTTTGTCTTTTTGATGTTGAGGTGTTGAAGCTTTCTCTGTTTTAGAAATAAGTCACGTGTCAGATATATTAAAGCCAGATATTTTCTCCCAATCTGCAGGTTCTCTTTTTACTTTTTTGGAGTCTTTTGATGCACATGAGAATTTAATTTTTAGAAGGTCTTAGTCATCTAGTTTGTCTTGTGTTTGTGCATTTTGGGTTATGTTTGATAGTCTGTTTATACCATAATAGGGCAGTAAATTTGCCCATTTTTTTAATGCATTTTATTGAAATATACTTTATGTACAACGAAATACACAGAACTAAAGTGACATGGGTCAGTACATTTTTTTTTTGCAGTGTTCCCCCCCACACACACTCCTGGCAACCAACAAAGAAAGTTTCCCTCCGGATATAACCTTTCCTTGACCCGCCACAACAATGATATTTGTCCTTCTGTGATTGACTTGTGTCACTCAGCATAATGTCCTCCAAGTTCATCCATATTATGTGGTGTTTTGCAGACTGTACATTATTTTTTAGTGCTGCGTAACATTCCATTATGTGTATGTACCATAGTTTGGCTATCCACTCTTCCACTCTAAATCTTAGAGATAAGTCCCTTGCCAGATATGTAATTATTGGCAAATAATGAATTTGTTGCTGTCATTTTTCTTATGTGCTTTTTTGTGGTGTTAATTTTTTTGTTCCATGAGCTCTGGTAGCATAGTGCCTAAGGCACTTGACTGCTAACCAGAAGGCTGGTGGTTCAAACCCACCAGCCATTCCTCGGAAGCAAGATGGGGCAATCTACTTCCGTAGTGATACTGCCTCGGAAACCCAAGGAGAGGGTGACTCGATGGCACATAACGACAACAACAACATAATTTTATATGCTGAGCTCATTTTGTTTATGAGTCATGTTATCACTTCCTTCATTGCTGTTTTAATATTTGCTGAATATTTATGCTGGTCCTCTTTTTTGATGTGAAGGTTTATTATTTTTCTTTGAGGTTACCCTGTGTTTTATAGTTTCTTTCCCAAGTTTAGAACAGTCTGTTCTATCTTATAGTTGTCTTGACTTCCCTATCATCTAGAAGTTCTCTAACGACACAGTTTTTTCCCTCTTTTTGGTTTGTAGATGTCCTCATTTGTCAATGGATGTCTCTGGTTCCCTGTTTACAATCTTGTAGGCT